CTCAAAAGGATGTTTATTCATACCGGGTGTCTTACCTGAACCCATTACAATGGAAAGATATGATACTCCGGGTTCTGAAATCTCTGCTTTGATAAAATGCAGTAAATCTACGATCAGCTATTATGGTCGGGGGTGGTTTGGAATCAGGAAGCTTATCTGTGAAATGTGGGACATATAACAACCACACAGAAAAAATACACCCGTGCATCCTTGATGCCACCTTTTAGTCTAAAGTATTTAAGTTAATATAGGAAATAAAAACAACACTCTAGGAGGAAAAACACCTAGCAAACTAAAAAGACTATTACAACATTAAAGTGTAAGCAATGCATTGTCTCCAATATATATATTATGCTAATCCCTATTCACAATAATAAAACCTTCCCCTGGCTGAGATGTTAACTCAGTTGGATATTGGATCTCTGTCAAGGAGAACAAAGTGGTTCACATTGTGCTAACAAAATATACGCCCATTACATGTTGGATCTGCCAGTGAACATCTAACTGGCACATAGGGTCAGGAGAAGCACCAGAACTGTGTGTTGGTCCACTGTTATTAGTAGCTGGGCAGTTTCTGGAACCATGCTCGCTTCTGAGCCCTCCGCCTTTACCACAGACGGGACAGGGTATATGATAGTGTTATTTGAGGGCACCTCTGCCTAGAGCCAGCTGCAGCATCCGAGTTCTGACATGTTTATGACAAAGAGAGCCCCTGCAAACAGGACAGACCAGCTTCTCCAAATTGTTCCTGGAGCTCCACTGTTGACCATAACACTGTGACCAGCAGAGCCCAAATGGAGAGGTCCCAACAGAATGCAACTTAAGATACCAATTGAAACCACACTTTTAAACAGTTCTAGGAAAAGACATATGGATGAGATGTTAAAAAATGACAACAAGCAGAATGCAGTGCCTATAATTTTCTTTTCAAGTCTCAATCTCCTTTAACTCCCAAACCTTTCCATACCTTGCAGAGATTCCAGGTTGAAGTTTTCTAATAAGCCACAACTGCTTGAGCCTTTCTAAGCTCACCTGAACCTCAGCATCCTTTGTATTAGCTGATCAGCAAGAACAGTCTGCTTTACACGAGATGCATTTTAGATGAGATGAGAGGTAATCACAACAAATGCAGTGGTTACAAGTTACTAACTCAGATAATTCTCTGCCAAGGTGCCACAGCACCATGAGGTGCTGTAAGATCCTTAAAGTGTGCCACAGGGTACAAACATCAAACACATGATTCACAAGATAAACCCAAAGATTTCAAAATAGGAACCCACAGTTTTAAAAACATTCTGACCCACTGGGGTCCGAGTTCTTTGCAATGGAAGAAGAATTGCTCTGTTATTTTTCCATAGTCAAAAAAAAGAATGAAAGCTAAGAACTGGCATTCTCCGAGGGTGTCTTGTGTCTAAAAAGCTGGAGAACTGCTGGATTAGTTGTTAACCTCTAAGGCTGGGACAGTCAAAAGGAACCTAAGAAAATTAGTCACCCAACTCCTACTGAAATTCAATGAGATTCGGGAGGCTAAGTTGCTTGCACGCCGTTAACAATCCCAGCCCACACGATTCAGTTTCTTTTCATCACACTGGGTCATCAGAAACAGAGAGGAATGCACAGTTGTTGCCAAGTCCAATCACCTTCTGCAGGGATTTGAAAAACTAAGCCCCACAGTACCACACAAACTGCGACTGACATGCCTGCTTGCAAAAAAGCGCAATGTACAGCCTGCTGCACTCCATGAATCTTGCCATCCTTATAATGCCCCTCAGCTGCTACTCTGTCCCATGATATGGTTCATTCATTTGTGCTGCAGCAGGCTGTTGTAGATTGCTTTCAGGTCTAGTATTACAAGCAACCAGCAGAGAGACCCAAGAACCAACCCTGAGGATCAGCTTCACACTCAAGACAGGAGTCTTGGCAATTTGTTTATTAAATTAGCTTATTAAACTGCTGGGACCATGGGGGAGCTCTAACAAGAACTAAGCAGGGTAGAAAACAAAGGGTTGGTTTTCCTGTTAGGTCTTGGCAGAATCAGGAGCTTTCTTGGGCCTCTTTTGCTCCTCTTCTCCAGAGAGAAAAAATGACCCAGCAGTCAAGGCACTACCTTTGGACTTGGGAATCATATGACTCAGTCACAGAAGGCTTGATCTGAAGAGAGAACAATGTGTTGCAATCGCTTGTTTTTAGGTGCCTGGCCACCATCGTGGAATCCAGAACCCTGCATCATGTACCTGGCTCCCTGTACAGTACATCAAGAGATTTGGGCACTTCACATGGGAGCCACAACACATCGGTTGTGTGTGGGGGGGGGGGGGGGGGGGGAAAAAAAAAAAAAAAAAAAAAGGGGGGGGGGGGGGGGGGGGGAAAAAAAAAAAAAAAAAAAAAGGGGGGGGGGGGGGGGGGGGGAAAAAAAAAAAAAAAAAAAAAGGGGGGGGGGGGGGGGGGGGGAAAAAAAAAAAAAAAAAAAAAGGGGGGGGGGGGGGGGGGGGGAAAAAAAAAAAAAAAAAAAAAGGGGGGGGGGGGGGGGGGGGGAAAAAAAAAAAAAAAAAAAAAGGGGGGGGGGGGGGGGGGGGGAAAAAAAAAAAAAAAAAAAAAGAGAGAGAGAGGGACGGAGGGAAGCTAAACCTGAGACTAAATATAAAGAAAGATAGCCAATAGGGAAGAACATGGGTGGGTCTTAAATGCCAACCTTCTGTACCTTCCCGACCAGGCTCTGGTGGAACTGGAAGGCACCCGTTTTTATTTAAAAGAAAGAAAAAAAGAAAAAACAAAAAAAACAAGAACTTTGCTGCCAGAGGAAGACAAGGTGGTGGTTTTTTCCAACTCTATGCAATAGCACAGCCATTACAGCACTCACCCAGGAAGGGGGGATTCCCAGATTCAGCTCCTCCTTTGCCTTAAGGGGTTCAAATCCCCACATCCCAGGAAAGTGCCCAAACTGTGGTGCTATAGATTAGTCCAAGGTGGGAGACTCAAACTACTCCTGCTGATGCTGTACTTCTTTACACAGAAGATTTTAAGATTCATGAGCCAGGGAGAAAGCATGCAACTCTTCACCCTAGTGGTGAAGGGGTGCTCCCATGAGACAAAGCAGCCCTGGCTTCCACTCACTCATCACCCGTGTGGTTAAAGGCCCAACCAGCCTGCTCCCCGGACTTTCTGCACCAACCACTCCTGGGAGCCTGAGGCTGGAGTCCACATGAGTGCCTCGCCCACTGAGCTATACAGATTCATTCTTTGGTCCAATGAAGCTGGAAACTGGTTTCACTGCAACATGCAAAGAATTCAACCTCTTCCTCCTCCCCGGTCATGCTCTGAAAGAAGGCAGAAGCCTTCACTGTTTGAGGTGGAGACCCTTCAAAAGACGTGTGATAGATCAAGCCCTGCGGAGACCGTAGGTAGAGGAAAGCCTAACTGATGGATCCTGGTGGCATGAGGAAGATACCAAACAGCACAGTCCTGGTCAAGACAGAAGCATCTTTAGACATACACAGATGCAGAACTAGAGATACCTGGGGAGCTCTAAATGTCAGAACAGAGGCACTTCTGGGATTCAGCTGCCTCCCAGGTTAGGCAGCAGCTGCCTGGAGGTTTTTAGGATCACAGCCTAGACTTCATTGGAATGTAGGTGCTTAAGATTTCTCTGCCCTGCAATTCCTATCTGTAAGACAGAATGCATCCTTCCCCACCCCACAGGGTATTCCAAGGATAGCTACATTACAGATTTGTAAGAGACTTGGATAATAGTGCGATGAAGAACTTAAAGTACCTAGGCTAAAAGAGCTGAGACATGTGAAATGCCTTTGACTATAACCCACTGCAAGAGAAAATCTATTCCAAGATTTGTGCTGACAGAAAGATATAGCTCCAAAAGCACCAGAGACCTAGACAATATTCCCTCCATCTCCTGATCAAGGGTGTCACAGCCTCCAAGATGGAGGGCAACTAATGGGCATCTCCCTTTCTTAGGATAATCCCTTCCTCCCTTTGGGCAGTCTGTGATGTCCTCTTTGAAGAGAACAACCATTTCAACCACAAGCCACTGGACTAGATGGAGGAATTACTGGCTGAAACCTATGACCCATGTAAATAAGCAGTCAGATTGGCTGGCTGCATTTCTTTGGATCCAAAAACAAAACATCAAGATCAGCAGAAGGAATGCACTCAGTAGTTAGCTTCACAAATCCCAGTGTCACAACAGCATAAACAAGAATTAAATGCTCTTCCCAGGCTCCCAAAATATGACCAACATCATATTCTGTAGAAATAAAACTGCATAAAACTGTAGGCAGCTCTTGAACATAACTGATGTCTTCTATAGTAGCTACCACCTTAGCATTCAGCTCTTCAAAAAATCTCCTCCAACAAGAAGAGAACAACAAATACAAGCAATAAAAGACAACAGCAATTGCTAGTTACAATGATCATATTTAATGGGCCAGATTGTCAATAAATTAACTCCACGGGAATAGTCTTATTGAAGGCAACAGACAAGATCTGGCACTGTACTGTTTAGCATCAGTGCTGTCTGAACAATCTTGGTAGCTGGGAACACTACAAGGCTCATACAAACAGATACTATCCAAGGATACTCTTAAGTTGTGTAAGAAAAGGTTCGATTTGCATGACAAAAAAAAAAAGAACAGGAGGCTTCTTTTTATGAAAGGGAGAGCAGTTGAAGGGACAGTTCAGAGCCTGTATCTGGGCTTCTTCAAAGCACACAAGGAGGAGTGTAGTGCTGAATTATTGGTCTGGAGCCACCTTTAATGCAAAAATAAAAAACAACCAAAAATAAACCCAACAACTCAACATGGCCCAAAAGCCTGTTCACCTTACTTGCAGGAAGTTTTCCCAAAGTTGACAGGAACACTCATCTGAGCTGCCAAGTAAAACATGGCTCTACAGCACAGACATCAGGCACCTAATAAAGGAAGACAGACTTTGCTCTTTCTGAGAATTCCCCTTGTAAGCCATCTTTTCATCTGCAAACAACTTACCCACAATGAAGACAAATGCAAAACTGGCCAGCGTCAGTGATGATCCACTACTGACCATGTTGATGAGCAGCTTGAATAAAGGGTATAGCAGCAACAAGGCCCAGAAAAGCCAGTTCAAAAGAGTCCATGGTCGCCGGGGTGGCACTATGGGAGTTTCTGGATAGACTCCTGTTCTGTAGTATTCTTCCTGAATGGCATCCTGGACAGAACAAAGAGATGTAACATTTAAATCCTGACTGGCCAACAAAAGCAGCTTTTCTCAGACTTTGATGTTTCTCTTGCTTGTACACTTGTTACCCTGAAAGGAAGATCAAAGATCAAATCATGGCTGGAAATTTTGTACTTCTGGTTAATGAAAGCTCAATATACAGGATTTGAGCTTTCCTGTACTTTCCTTTAATACACTCATTAAAAGTTCCCCTCCCTTCCTTGCTCTTGTTCAGTGGAGCCAAGACTTCTGAAGTCTGAAGCTTTCATGAGACCCTAGTGGATCAACATAAAGAGAGGAATGCCACTTGTGCTATTTGGGTAAATATTCTCTCATTAGGGCATATTTAATCACTTCCTTATCCACTGCACCAGTAGCAGCCATCAGACATGTACTGTTGGTAGGTCACAGCAGCTTCTGATAATGGGTTCAGTAGCAAACCCTCCCATTTCCTGCTGTATTTTTATCAGTCCTTTATATAAGTTGTTTCCATATCTTGGCTTACAGTACAAGGTAGGTGCCAACTGGCCCTGTACTCCAAGGAATGCTATTCTTTTAAACCCACTGGGCATTGAGGGCACAGACAAAAAGTGACAATTTTCACCCAATCTGGTCACAGAAAGCAATGTATAGCTGTGACCAAACAAGTACACAACTGCAGACCACTTCAAAAAAATGCCCAGTCAGGTGAAAATCTGACTTTTCATTGCATAAAGGGTCAGATGAGGTTTCAAAACAGAGCCTCTTTAACTTCTGTCTGCCAGCCTCAAGCTATTTTCAGAATGGGAATGGGGAAAAGAAACAGTAAGTTTGGTCTGGGGATTTTTCAGCTCCTGCTGCAT